TAAAATAGTTGGCCTTGTGATATTTTATTAAAATGTACAGGTTTGAAGCATTTGACAACAAGTATACTACATAGTAAACATTATCTTTAGTTTATTAATTGACTAAATAAACAAACAGTGTTAGTGCAGTGTTGATCATGAAGACGAGGTGGCAGGAGGTTGGGCCCACTGTCCTGCTCACTGCTGTCTGTGCGTTCAGCAGTTTGAGGTTGTCCTTCCCTGTTGTCCAGTGGCTCGTTTCTTTTGGACATTGGGGACGATCAGCACTGTGTCCCCACTCTGTCTCATCAGACAGAAACACTAACACACACATGCACGCACAGTAAGCCTGACAAAAGCTTCTTTGTGTTTGTTTGGTGCAGTGCAGCCACTCTGGGGAGGCTTCTTTAGTGGGTTCTGACCACTAGTTGATGCTGGTTTCAGTTCTGTGGCCGTTCTTCCTTTTCCCTCACACATTCTGCTTTTATGTATTCTGTTGGAGTAAACTGTCCCTGGACTCTGTTTAAACACAGTGAAGAGATCTAAGTGTTAACAAAAAGCTATTTTCATGTTAATATTTGTAATAAATACAAAGGGAATGAAGCTTTAGAGCTCCTAAATTGAAATTTGTCTCCCCCTGTTGGACACTATTATTTGTTGATTTATGATGTGAAGTAAGTTATAAAAAGATGTGTATTATTTTAAGCAAATAAATGTGCAACTCAAGTATGTTCTGTTATTTAAATCTATAATGTGGAGCTAAGAAAGCTGGCTTATTGAATTATTTAAGCACTTTAACTTATTTTATATCACCTATAAACATCTATTCAGGGATCTTTTAAAAGAAGTCATTTTTTATTTATTTGTTAGAGCTATTTTGACTACATAAAGTATTTACCAATAATAATCAGTTTTATTTTATTTTTTCTGTTTTCATCTACTCAGCAATTTAATCATCAGCTTCAAACTTTATTAATTTGATCAGATTGTGCTGTTTAAGAACATTTGGTCAAACAGATTTTTGTTCTTGTAGAGCAGATCCATATTTAAATGTTCAAATCTGATTTCATAGATGAGGCCAAATGTTCATCACTATGAGCAGTGAACAAGTGGTTTTCATTCAATTTGAAGTGAAAATAAGTTCATCAGGATCTGTCAACATGTAGAAGGAAGAAGCGTAATTTAAATAATTCAAGTAGACAAGGTCAAAATGAAATAAAMGAGCTCTTATCTGATCATAACTTTAATCTTTCAGTGTCCTTTTTTAATYTTTACTGTATTTCTATATTATCGGTTGAACAGAATGTTGAATTAAGCTAAGTAGTGATTTATTTTTCTATTCTAAAATCAAGTGTCATGTTGATGTTTTGAACATTGTGAAGCTCTCTTTGTTCTGATGATAGTTTTGTTGCAGGGTATAATGTTATATTCATTAACATTATAT